CACAATACCAATAAGTGATTAATAAAAGTCAAAAGACCAAAGAGGTCACCTTAATACCAAAAAAAAAAAAAAAAATAAAGTACATTATTTTGCATTTAAAAAAAAAAAAAAAAAAAAATAGTAGACATGTAAGAGTAACAAATAAAACAAGACAGCAATGGAATGCATATAAAAAACTTGCTATTGTTACATACTTTGAAAAGCACTTAAGTCAGAAGCCAGAGTGGTCAAGCAACAGCTACCAAATTTAATATTGAACCAAAACAAATAAAAAATTGGTGTAATAAAAAAATAAGTTAATGAATGTCTTGCCTCATATTAAACAAATGAATAAGAAAAAATCATCTAAATATTCTAAGTTAAAGAAGACTATTTTTAGTTAAGTACAAGAATTATATAGTAAACTCAAACCTATAACTCATGCTATAATACAAATTAAGACCAAAACATTATCTTAAAAATTACCTTACATTACTTATTATTCTGGTATTACTAAAAGCAAATTTAGCAATAAGTGGGTTGATGACTTTATGACTTATTACAAATTAAATAATTGGCATTAAACATTTATAGCTCAAAAACTCTCCGAAGATCTGTAATTGCAACAATAAGAGTTTTTAAGTTTTGTATTATATAATCAAATTTAATATAATTATCTTCTTGCCTTAATAGATAACATAAATAAAACTCTATTATAATTCAACCTTTTAAATAATACTATCATTGATAATTGTAGTGCAAATACAGTTTCAATTTAGATCTATGAATATGAAAAATTATGTTTTATCATTATACTTACATGTTTAGCTAATGGAACTAAATTGCCTCTAGCTATTATCTTTAAATTAATTAATGTTTTATAGCAAGTATTTTCTGCTAGAATTTATGTACATACAAATCCTAAATTATGGATGAATGAAGATGAAATGTTATAATAGATTGAAAATATATAGAATTTGTGATCAAGAGCATCGCAAACCCATGTTTACTTTTAGTTTTAGATTCATTTACTGCTCATATTACTGATATAGTTAAATGTTGATTTTCTAAAAAAAAATACAAATTTAGCTGTAATTCCAGGAGGTTTAATTTCAAAAGTTTAACCATTGGACATTGTTATTAACAAATTATTTAAAGCAAAGATAAAGTATACAAATTATGTATTATATAAATAAATATAATAGATTTCTTTATTTATTTTATATATATAAGTGTAAAATTACTATAATGATTGGATAGCTAGTAAAATTCATACTTTTACTAAAAAAGGTTGTATATAATATTCTGCATACAATTTAATTGCTTAATGAATATTAGATGCATGGAACAGTATAGATCCTACACTTATTTATAAATTAACTTCACATTTTAATGGATTGATATCTTTAGGTAAGATGTGTAAAATGAGTGGATCAGATTCTTTGGTATCAATACTAAATCGATCTGGATATTTGTTATAGTAATAGTCAAGGTCATGAGAATCAGATTCAATAGTAGTTAAGATAGGCATTTTGGCTTGTTATTTTTATGATAATATTGAAGATATTGGTGACAGCTTCAAAAGAAAGTAAAATTTAGTTCATGTAACATTACACTTCTTGTAATACTTTTTTGTGGCTAGTGTGGCTGATAGTTGTGTGGCTGAGGCTGGTGTAACTGATAGTTATATAGCTAAGGCTGGTGTGGCTTGTAGTACAGTATAAGGCTTATGTAACTTTTACTAAAATAGAATAAAGTATACACAAAATTATGTAATTTTAGAATGAATACAAATTTGTAATTATTTGTTTTTGTATTAATTAATTAAAATTTAAAAGGAAATAATTGTTAGGTGATTGTTAAAAGATTAAACCAGTAAAATATGGTGTTTTAAAATGTGTTTGAAGTTCAGATTTGAAGGGGATAAGACTAAAAGAATAATTTTTTAGAGAAATTTTAAAGAAAATAGCCATTTAAAGGTTTTTGCTTATAAAATGATCAATTTTTGATAGTTTCAAATAAAACTTATATCAAAATGAAGCCTAAGGTGAGCTGGACAACTTTGTCTTAGTGAGCAAGACAAGTTTCCTAAGCCAAATTTGAGTACAAGTGTTTTGAGTATATTTTAACAGATAGTTAATTAATTTATTTAATATTTAAATTATCGATGTGAAATTTTAAGAGTATATATAAATTTAAGTAAAAAACTATTTTATTTAGTTTTTAGAATATATTTAAATATAAATTGTTAAAGAAAATTAAAATTTTCTTTAGCAGAGTTTTGGTACAATTGATCATCAAGAAGAGTTAGCAATTTGTGTTCTCAAACTTTAAATTAATAAGTTTATATATTAAATAATTTTGGTAACTTAATTTAAATTTAGTGAAAGAAATCAATTTAGTTAGCAATGATGATAGTTAAATTAATAAAAATAAATATAGATATACTAGTGAAAGCAAAGATAGTCATGTTAATAAAGATGAATATAATTATATTAGTAAAAATAAAAATAATTATACTAGTGAAAATAGTAGTTATTTTATTAGCAAAGATGAGAATAGTTATTATAACATAGAAGAAACTGACTATGTTAATAAATAGATTTAAGTAAGTAATTTTATTAATTTTATTAATATCTAATATTGACGTGTTCTATTTTATATTAATTTATTAAAACTTTTTATATATCTAGTTTTAAATTATTAAATAATATCAGCAATATAGATACTGTAATATTTTGGATATAACTTTAATGCATATATTATTAGTAATTTGAATGCAATTTAATAAAGCATATCAATTCTAATAGAAAAGTCTTTAAGCTTTACTTATATTTTGCTAAATTTATTATCATATTTTAGTTTTATGTATTATGATAGCTAAATTTTTATTAGTTATATAAATAAATAGTTAAATGATTATGATAAATTTTAAATTAAAAATATATTATGATGCTAGTTCAAGTAAATAAATTATAAATTATAAATTATATCCAGATCTTTTTTACAAAGAGCATTATAATAAGTAAAATTTATATTATACTAGGTATTATTTTATAATTACAAATACAAACTTATAAATTGTATATGGGTCTTTTATATTAGAAGTTTTATAGCAAAGAGGTACTGTAGTCAGTGTCATACAGTAATTTTTATAAAGCTAAAATTCAAAAGATAAATATTTGCTTAAATAGTAATTACAATGCAGTAATAACAAAAATAAAACTAAACCATCTAATTACACTATATAGTGTAACAGAAATAAGAAAAAAAAAAAATAAAAAAACAGTTTTTTTGTATAATAAAATATCTAAAAAAAATTAAAAAATTATAAACAAGACCTCAATATAAGTTTTAAAAAAAATTAATATTCAAGATTTTTAAAGATTTTTACAAATAAATATAAATATTAAAAAAAATAATTACATAAATAAATAATAAAATAGGATATTAGATATGATAACCTAGTAAAGTGATTAGATTATCAATCTTCCAAGTAGTACATTGGGTGTTCAAATTTTATTAATAGCAAAAATTTGAATAATTACCTATGTAATATTTGTATTATAGCAATTATTACCGATAATTGGATTATAATACTTGTAATGATAGTTATACTAGCATAACTGATAGGTTATAAAGAATCTGTATAGTTATATAGAGAAATGCAAACTGACAATTAGGAGTACAAATACTAGATAAGTTTTTGTAACTATATAAATCTGTTAAATTGAGTAATAAGAAATCTATTTAGAAAGACTTAAGTAGAGAGATAGCCAGATTTTTGATAATACTATTATAAAAGTTAGCCTAAGAAAATAGATATCAAGGTCATAGTACTTAAACAGACAAAAATCTTCAGATTGAAAAAGGCTCAAAGGTATCACCAACTAGGCTGCCAGAATAAATTAGATAAAAAGAATATCAGACCAACCTAATATACTAATAAACTGATCATAGTTCTATATAAACTATTTGGATTGGAAGTTTGAACAAAAGGTAAGAATATACTAAAGTACTAAGATTATGCTATAAAGTAGATGCTAGGGTTCAAGTAAACTCTACAAAAGCATAGTAGTTGAAGATATAACTCTAATTACAAGTGTTGATTCTGCTATAATAATACTTAGTTCAGTTATAAAAATGAGTACAGAAAGCTCTAAGAGATTAATCTTAAAGATAAAATAGTTCTAAAATTAAGATGATAATCTGAACATCTAGATATAATCTAGTAATATTAATACAAGTTGCAGGTTCAGAGAGTTTAAAATAAAACACCTAAGCAATATATTAGATATAGCAATTAGTAAAAAATCTTTAACTAAACTTTTTAAATAAGAATATAGAAAAGTAATATATATAGCCAATTGTATGCTCTTCTGTAATAGTTTATAAAATCATATTATCAAAAAAAATTATTAATAAAAAGTCAAAAGACTAAAGAGATCATCTTAAAAAAAAATAAATAATAAAATTCAATTAGTAATAATATTATTACAATAGCAAAAAAAAATATTTCAAAAAAGAAATTTTCAAATACAGTATTAAAAAAAAACAAAAATGAAAAATTTTAATTAGACTAAACATTTATATAACTAAAAAAATAAATAATTATAAAAAATATAAACATTAAACTAGGTTTTATAAAAGACAATATTAATAATCTAAATGAAAAAATTAGATATATTAATAAATAACATAATATATATATTGATTTAATACAAATTTAATTTTAAGAGCTTATTAATAATTTAAAAAAATAGCAAAAAATTTTTTGAGTAAGAAGAATTAATAAGTTAAAAAAACAAAAAAAAAAAAATATAAAAAAATATAAAAAAAAATATCAAATAATTGAGTAAAGTACAACTTTTGCAAATTATATATAAATTAAATGTATAATTTTTTTAATATTTTATTTTATTTAAGATTTTATTAAATAAACTATTTTTTAGTTTCTAAGCAAAGTTGTAAAACAAGATTTTGTAATTCTAATTATAATAAAATCATTAAAATTAGTTAAATATTTATTAAGATATAAATATTTAAATATTTAATTCTAAAATTTAAATAAAATTTTATATTGTATTTTATAGAAATTAGTCAATCAAAATTAATTATTTTGTTTACTTTAGAGAATTTAAATTTATTTTAAAGAACTTTACAATATATACAAGTATATTTTTTTAAAATAATTTATCAAGTAAAATTTATACATTAAATAAAGTATATTTAACTCTATATATTATAAAAATTTGATAAAATTTAAATATAAATTTAAAAATTTTTATTAATAACATCTTTCAATTTTTTGCAAAAATAAAAATTTACTATACAGATCATATAAAAAATGATCTACATATATTCTACCCTTAATAAAAAATAAGACAAAATATTAATAAGTTTTTTAGATAAACTAACAAAAAATTAAAATAGATTGGCTTATTAATAAAAAAAATAGATAAAAAAATTTAATTGTTAAACTAACAAAAATATTAAAAAAACAAAAAAATATTACTAAAACTAGTTTAGATTATAACACTTTAACTAAAATATTCAAAAAAAATAAAAAAAATTTATAAATCTAAAAATTAATATCAAGATCTAAACTAAGATATAACAGAAAAAAAATAAAACAAAATGCTTCAAAGACTAAAAAAAAAAGCAGTATTAAGAATCTTAAACATTATATATATATTAATTTAAAAAAAAGAAGTTAAAGCTTAAAAATTTTTAAAAAATTTGCTAAAGTTTGTATTAAAACAAATATAATATCAAAAAAATTGAAAATGTTATAGATTTATTTAAGGTAAAGTATGTAGATCATTTTTTATATAATCTAGATAGTATAATAAATTTTTATATAGTAAATTAAAAATATATTATGACAAATACATTGCACTCTCTCTTGCAAATTCCTTGACCAAATCGTCAAGAAGCAAAATAAGAAATAACACAGAAACATACTAAAAAACAACACCTTGACTCATAGCAAAAAAGATAGAGCAGCAAAAGCTATATATAACCAAAGACAAAAACAAAAACTAGAGTTTCTGGCAATATAATATAGAAACGAAAAGCAAAAGTTTTGACAAAAAAGTTTAGTTTTTAAAAAATTTTGGGGAATAGCTGTGACCTTGTTTTGCAGATCACTTAAGTTACATGAACATGAAACAAAACAAACAAAGCAAATAAGGAAACATGTGTACCAAATAGTATAGCAAAATATATACAGAGTATACAAAAGAAGAACCTGAACCATAGTAAGAAATATAGACTAATGGCTGAAATACATAATGTAGATGTTATAGATTACATTAGAGGAATAGGAGATAGAAATCGTAGATATGTAGATTGCAAACTACTG